AATTGATTGAAAATAGAAGTTAAAAATATTATAGAGGAAGGTGGCCTATTAGAGACATTTTTATTGATTTACTGATTTTAAACTTCCCTTGGCTTTGGTATAGAAGACTCCCGTTGAGTGTCTTTGCTATGGAAAGAACTGAACACAGGGTTAGAAAATCAGTCTGTCTCTCTGGAGGAGTTACCAATTACTACCATTTAAAATTGGTTTAGTAATTTTTATTTTTGTATTACTTAGTCTTTTCAAGTTTACTTTACATGAGGGTTTCCCCCACTGTCCACGTGGAGCTGCAGGTCCCCTGGGAGGAGGAGGAGGAGGAGGAAGGATGAGCTGGGTGTCTTGCCCTGGCTTTTAGCACTTTAGAACAGCAGCACTGCACAGCTGAAGTGTGCATGTAACTCTGAATGGTTCTGTTACTGGGATTAAATTTACCTCAGGCACTCAAGTATCCATTTTAAATCTGCATTTGTGTTGACCTTTTTCTGGTACCATAAGGCTTTTTAATGCCATCTGAAATTCTTCTCCTCAAAACCAAGGAGTATCTTAATGAGGAAAGAAATATTAGTGCATCATTCATTTGATTCACTGATGGTCTGACTGACCTGTGCATGGTCCAGGGGTGCAGCGGTGCAAATTCTACTTTACAAAGCAGCCTTGTTGTTCTGGCTTTTTCTACTCGGATGTAATTTAAAACAGAAGCCTTTAAATGTGCTGAGGTAAAATGCATGCTCTGCTGGCAAATTGGAGAGATAGATATTGACTAAGTGTTGTGTCACCAGAACCAGACATTCAGGCTCCCTCAAGTTTTAATTTTTTGATTTAATTTTTTGATAATGTGTCACAGTTGTAACAGTGTGTCTGAAGCAAGGAAAAATGACAAGCAGAGCCATTAGGGAGTCTGTACCTACTTACTGTTGCTCTCCACCCCACCTGAATCCTGGTTTTCCCAAAGTAATAAAAGTCGGTGATAGAACCATTATTTGACACTAGGACAGGGACTCAGATGAAATTAAATGAGAGATCACTTGAAAGCTTAAATAGTATGACTAATTAACAGACACACACATATTTTGAATGTAAAAATACACAGATACAGCTAACTTTTAGTGGCTGTTGAATTTGTATGGCAATGGGCAGGGGTTTCCAGTCCAAATGGTGAGAGATCTGGAAGCTGTTTGGCCCTAATTAATCAAGCCCGTGATGATTTGCCCCAATTAACCAAGCCCATGACTTTTAGTGCTCTTTTAAATACTAAAAATATCAGCAGTGCTGTTTAGAGAGGTGCATGTGTGTGAGTAGGAAATGCACTCGTAGGTGACAGCTTGGGCAGTTGTGATTATTATGATGATAAGGTGTTCTTAGAGTAGATATAAAGTGAGGAACCATAATCTTAATGGCTTTTAGTAGGACTCAGACTGCTTTTATACAAAACACCTTTGTAAACAGGAGTTAGGGTAAGTAATTTTAGACTCATGATTGTTTAATAGTCAACTTTTTTATATCTATATATGTTTTTTATTTTTTATTCTTGTAACTGCTGGAGTATCTCACCTAGCTGAAAAAAAAAAAAAAAAGAAATAAAAAGGGGGGAAAAGAATTCATGTTACTTATGAAAATTTATTGCTAATTTACCATTGTTACAATGTTGTCTTTGTAAAAACTGAAGGTGGCAGAACAACTTGCTATAGTTAAATACTGAAAACCTGAAAAATAATGCATAAAAGATGATATGGCTATGAGGCAAGGATGGAGGAAGAAAAGGCTGGAAATAGCAGTACAGATAGCCAGAGCTGGTGTCAGCTTGACACAAATGGAATAGATCTGCAGACATTTGTGGTGAAAGGACAATGGACAGCAAATGGTTCAGCTGAGTTGAGAGAGATTATTTACTTAAACTGTGCTGTCTCCCTGTGGTCCCATGAGAGCCATGGGAGGCTATTTCTACAAATGAATCGGTATTTAGAGGGGTTTATTGCTTCTCTTCTTCCAAGTATCCATAAAGAAATGCTATTCCTAGTGGAATTAGGGTGATGGTGAAAATGGATATGTCACTTTCTGGAAATCCAGGCATTATTTGCAAAGTAAAAGTACATTTATCCTGGTGATTAAAAAAATAAATAAATAAATAGCGAATTTCTTATCTGAAGTTATGAAAGTGAAGCCCTCTTAAAGAAGTTTAAGAGCAGAAGGGATATTAATATTTAATATTACTGCTGTATGTCTTGGAGCTGATATTGCCTGATGCCCTTCACCTCTGCTTTCTCCACAATGAGATGTCACTTAAGGAATGGCCTCAGGATCAGTTTAGAGCCGTCTCTAACAACTGGACATGGAAAGTAACAGTAATTAGTCCAGCCAAAAGATAGCTTTGGGTAAACAGATTTACATCAAATGTGGTTCTGAAACTTTAATTGGATTTCTGTTGCTTTGCCCTAATGACAGAAAACCTGTTTGCTGCTATCAGGGGAACATAAAGAATCCTTGCAGCACTTTGCCCTCACTCTGATTGTTATTCCCCATGTTAGTGTACCTGAGCACTAATTGTTTGGTTAGTCATTAGCAGAAATGATTGAAATGGACTGGGCAGGCATTCTAACAAAGAAATCCTAAGCAAATTTCCTGGTCTCCCTGAAATGCATATTTATATATTTTGTATCAAATAGCACAATTGTTCTCAGAAGAACTGAAGGTAACCCACTTCATAAAGATGGGCAGCTGCTTTGAAAGATGACAGACTTTAGTTAATTAATTTTTACCACTAATTGGGTAAATTGGACTGATAATGTTTAGACTGTGTTAAAAAAAAAGTACCCAAATAGAAGCACCACCTCAGACTGCCTTTGAAGACCCTTATTTAGATGTTTGTCTGGTGTATTCTTATTTCAGAGATATTTATTTTTATTTCTATGAAATGTAACTATTGCAGTAGGAGAGATGGCATGGCAAAACAGAATATCCAGAAAATTGAATGAGCTGGTGGTGACTTATGGACTTCATCTGAAAATGAACAAGGTTCACCTACATCCCTCTTTATATTCAGTTGGATGTTGTAATAATAGCATACTTATAATGTTATCAAGTATGCATAAAATGATAAAGTATCTTGTGACTATTTACTGATTTCTAGAACTCATTTGAATGGATCTTAATGGCATAGAAATGTACACATGGAGTAAAGTTGTTCCAGCGTCAAACTCTCTAGCAGAAAGTTTTATAAACAGTGCTAATCTTAATTCAATATGATTAAATTTTTAGCTTATATTTTAATTCCATTCATCTTTTAACCTTCTACTTTACTTTCTTGCATTTATTTCTTGCATTGGTTTTGCACTTCTTATTCCACAGCGATATAAAAGTAAATGGTGTGTGATTTTTGTCACCTAAAAATGCATGTATTCTTAAACAGAAAAAAAAGAACATAAAGAAAAGCAGTAATAGTGCTTGGTCTTGCTGTCATCTTTCCAGCTCCCCTGAACATATCTTTTTTTCTGTGAAAGAAGTTTTCTTGTGCTGCGTCCATTTGAAATAACTTTTTCAGTTTTCTGGTTGAACTGTAATGAGGGGAAAATAATCTGTAATAGGTTTTTTAAAAAATGAGAGTTCTTTGAGCTTATCTTCATAAAAGCCAGTTTTATTGTTGTAGAAGTTAGGGAACAGAGATGTTGTTTCATCAGTTTTAGTGGGAAATTAAATGGATTTGCATTCCAGCATCAGCTGGGTGCTTTGGAAGGTCTCCCTGGGTGGGCTGTTGCCTCCCCCTGGTTTTTAATCTCTCCCTTTCTCCTGAATCTGCCTTCCCCTGAGCGCTCTGCCTGACCTTTCTGCTCTGCCTGTCATAACTAATTCCAATATCACCCATCTGCAGCGTGACAAATACACCCCAGCAGCCAGTGAGCACTGGGGATGTGCAGAGAGCCCCTCGTTCCCTCCCGTGCTGGGCAGAATAAATGGGTTTATGCCTTTCCTTCCCAAGGGGTGTGCAGGGACAGGATGGAGAGCACCCCCTGTTCTGCCTGTGCAGGGAGCTCCAGGATGACATCTCAGTGTTCAGGAGCACACATCATCACAAATATGATTATCTGCAGGTGCTTTTATTGAGAGCTCTGGGAGCCAGGGGTACAGACCCAAATCTGACTCCCACGTGGCTTTTGAGCTGAACCTATTTTATATTCTACCATTATATAGCTTACATATTAATTATTAAACCTATATTGTTCTATTGTGTACATTGACTTTATTCAAGTATGAGTTTCTTGTGATCTTTCTCAAGCCCCTGACCACAGTTTCTCATGATTATTCTTACGATTAAACAGTAATTATATTTAATTACTAAACAGTCATCACATCTAACAATTATATCATTTATCATGCACTAGCTACACAGGTGCATCTCTAGCAAATACAAGGCCTACCCCCTCCCAGGCACCTTCCCAGGGCCTACCAAGCTCAATTTTCCCTCCAACCCCCAAATCCATTTTGATTTAAAACCCCTTTTACTATCACACAGGCAGTCCAGGAGATGTTTGGCTGGCTTGTACAGCTCAGATATTTCATTTGGGATGGGCGGGAGGGTGTTACAGCACTTCCTGGAAATGGAAATTAAGATTTTTTTTTTTCTGTCACCTTCCATTTCCAGCTTTAGTTAAGCTGCAGAGGATCATTTTTAATCATTAAAAATGATTAATCGCTTTTAATAATTTTAAAGTGATTCTGGGAGATGAGACTGTCCAAAGAGCTGATAAGAGTGAGTTTTACATCTGAAAAAGCTCTAAGGGGAAAAAAGGGATCTGGAGCTCAAATTGACATCTCCAACTTAGCTTTACACATGGACCAAACAAGAACTGCAGTCATGGATTACTGTTTCCATTGCACAAGGAATCTGCTTCCAGTTTCTAGAGGCTGGTGTTCCATTGGAGGGAGATTGTCCTAATATGTCAGCATGGAAATAATAATTATATAGGAGTTCTGTTTCTACAATTAATACACTTAGAAGCTTTCACTTGGGCTTAGTATGTTTATTTATTGTTTTCTTAGCAGAAAGAACACTTGGAAAATGACAGCCATGGCATATATGGAATGTATCACTGTTCATTAACAGAGTCTTAAACTTTGTCAGAGCTGAATAAATGATTGAAACAAGTTCCAAATAGTGTGTGAGGTACTTTTGGCTAGCTTGCTTTTTAATTTGTAAACTGTCATTGGATACATATTAATTGTTGCGTGTTGAGCAATCCTTGCTCATGCCTTTCTGGTTGCTAATTTGATATTCCTGTCAGCAGCAACAATGGAGTTTTTGATCCGAGCTCCTGGTGACAGGCTGGCACTCTGATGCTTTTCCCAGGCTGAGCGTAACTCCCACTCTCAGGATTGTGCTGCAGGTGCAAATTCCCCAATTTCTTTCCAGGAACATTTGCTGGTAATTCAAGATTGGGTTGAATATTCCTGCCAATAAGAGAAGTGTTAGAAAGTCAGGAAGGCGTACGCAGTGCTGTGAACACGCTTGGGCCCTGAAACACCCAATTGTGTGATACAGAATGCATGATTAATGGAACTGCGAGGAGGGGATTCAGTCTGTCAGACCTCAGTGCCAACTGCATCGATGGCAGCCTGGTGCCTCTCTGCAGAACACTTTCTCTTACATAACTCTGCAGGCATTTGCTGTATGTGGAGCACAAAAACCTGATAACAGAACAGCTCTGAAACAAAAACAAACCCTGAAGGTTTTCTTTTGCTTTGCTAATAGTTTGTCTAATGGGAATTTTTAACTTGTTTTATTTTGTTTGCTAAAGAAAACCCAATGGATCATTCATGTTGGAAATCTCACTGGAGGACTCCTGACATCCTTTACCTGAGAGAGTGATCTTGGGGAAACTCAGCAGTGGTCTATTCCTTTCATTTCTCCCCATATTAGGTGTTCTTCAGAAGGGAAGATTAAGCAGCCTTTTTTTGCTGGATCACTGTACAGGTTGTATTTTAGAACAGCAAATGTTGTTCTCATGGAACGCAAACTCAAAGTGCTTAAATATTTTCCCTAAAATTATTTGGGTTATTAGGTATTTCTAAGTACGAAGCTATCACTGTCTGGTAAATTTTATTTCTAGTAGAGTCAACCTACTAGAAATTTCAGGATCAACCTGAAATTCTGGATTGTGTCAGCAGGAGCAGATTTCTGCTTCTGGGGTTGTGTCACTGAAGGTTGTTTTGCAAAGCACACATTTAAACTATACAAAGGTGAGCACCTGAAGTGTTGTTTTGAATCAGTCAAAAAGGAAGGTTCAGTTCATGGAAACGCTTGCTGTGCATCAAGGGAAAGACAAAGCTTTGCTTTATTTAATGTGTGGAGTCCAGGAACTTGCTTTGTGTGTGTGTCTAGAGGGTCAAAAACTTCCATATCCTCAAGTGCTATCAGTAGAAATGCAAGCAGTATTTCTTGTGCAATCCTGAATTCAGAACAGGCTGTGGAAAGTTACATTGTCAGTGTTCATGAAAAAGAAAAAAAATATTATTGTAGGCTGTGAAAAACACCCTTAAATACATGTCATGGTTTGACACTGGCACAATGCCAGTGCCCTCTATGAAAATGCAATTTTTCAACTGAATGCTGTGAAATGCGATCGAGAGCAGAGCCAAGCAGGCTTAAGCTTAATAACAAGGAAAAAAATTTTATTAAACTACTACCACTATGTTATTAAAAGGGGGGGGGGGGAAGAAGAAAGAAACACACACAATTCAAAATGAAAACTTTTCAAAGCATTCCTCTTCCCACCACTTAACTTCAACAGTCTACAGTGAGAGATAATCTGGACCCTAATCAGGTTTCCACCTTCCAGATAATTAACACTCAGTCCATCTGCAGGGAGAGAGGAGTCTCTCTTGTGCCACAGACCCCCCAAGAAACACAGCTGCCACATCTTGTGCTTTCATGTCACCACATGGCACCGCCCGGAGAAAAAGTTTGCCAGTGGTGACCCTCTCCTTTCTATACACGGTGCTCTCACTACTAATGTATGGATGGACAGACTGCTTTTAGGATTTTTTTTCCTTTCAAGGATGCCCTGCCAAGAGGGGAAAAAACAACAGTTCAGTTTTTCATTTTTGGGACCAACAGTCCCCCCCATTTTTCTCTGGGGCCGAGGATCTACGAACAGAGCTCTTCTTCTCTTCTTCTTCTCTGAAGACAGGGGGCACTACCACAAACTTCCTTAACTTTTTACTGTTCGCTCTACTTCTATCTTTTTCCAGCTGAAGCAGGTCTCTTGGCTCACCAGCATTCTCCTAAAATACAGTCTCTCTTGGAGGAGAAGATCAGTTCAATCTGTGGCTACTAAGAAAAAGTCCAGCCAAACAGCCACTCCATCATCTCCTCCCACCTAGAATTTCTTTTTCTAACATCCCAGATCCCAGGCTGTCTCTCTTCTTCTTTTTTTAAACTAAGGAGGAGAAAAATTTCACAAAGCTTTCATTTCTTAGGAAGGGTTAAAAGTCCCGACTCCCAGAGATGGCTCGCTGCCCAGGCTCCAGCTCCCACAGGCGGCTGGGCACCTTGCGGCCCCCCTTCTCTTCTCCTTCCCCGCGGTGAACTGCTGATAAAAACTACCGCCGTCTCTTTTTCTCTCTTGGGAGAGAGAGACTCTGGGGGGAACGGAGACATCCCAGATTTCTCCACCCTTCCATCTGCAGGGGGCTAACCCGGGTTTTAGTCCCTTCACCCTTGGGCCTACCTCCGAAGGCCACATGGCTTCTCCCCTCCCCCACCCAGCTCGTGGCCGGGCAGGGGAGAGTCCTGCACTGACCGCTGACCGGAACTCAAGAGAGCGAGTTCTTCTGGGAATTCTGCTTTTAACCCCTCTGTGTTCTCAGAGGCGTGTCTACCTTCAATTGGTCAAAGTCTAAATTGACCTCTTCCTTCCGGAAAAATTCTTTTTCCGTGTCAAACCACGACACTCCACCCTTCGCCTCTGAGAACACAGAATATAAAAATCATTATCAAAATTACATTCAACACACTTCTACATAAAACAGCATCATACACTAAAACTTTTACTCCAATTCACCTTACCACTCAACACATGCTTTGTTCTTAATCTTTTTTGATCCCATTTCACAGCTTTCATTTTATTAACATTTTATCTTTCGATGCCCGCATTCTCCACCAAAAATGTCATGGTTTGACACTGGCACAATGCCAGTGCCCTCTATGAAAATGCAATTTTTCAACTGAATGCTGTGAAATGCGATCGAGAGCAGAGCCAAGCAGGCCTAAGCTTAATAACAAGGAAAAAAATTTTATTAAACTACTACCACTATGTTATTAAAAGGGGGGGGGGGGGAAGAAGAAAGAAACACACACAATTCAAAATGAAAACTTTTCAAAGCATTCCTCTTCCCACCACTTAACTTCAACAGTCTACAGTGAGAGATAATCTGGACCCTAATCAGGTTTCCACCTTCCAGATAATTAACACTCAGTCCATCTGCAGGGAGAGAGGAGTCTCTCTTGTGCCACAGACCCCCCAAGAAACACAGCTGCCACATCTTGTGCTTTCATGTCACCACATGGCACCGCCCGGAGAAAAAGTTTGCCAGTGGTGACCCTCTCCTTTCTATACACGGTGCTCTCACTACTAATGTATGGATGGACAGACTGCTTTTAGGATTTTTTTTCCTTTCAAGGATGCCCTGCCAAGAGGGGAAAAAACAACAGTTCAGTTTTTCATTTTTGGAACCAACAGTCCCCCCCATTTTTCTCTGGGGCCGAGGATCTACGAACAGAGCTCTTCTTCTCTTCTTCTTCTCTGAAGACAGGGAGCACTACCACAAACTTCCTTAACTTTTTACTGTTCGCTCTACTTCTATCTTTTTCCAGCTGAAGCAGGTCTCTTGGCTCACCAGCATTCTCCTAAAATACAGTCTCTCTTGGAGGAAAAGATCAGTTCAATCTGTGGCTACTAAGAAAAAGTCCAGCCAAACAGCCACTCCATCATCTCCTCCCACCTAAAATTTCTTTTTCTAACATCCCAGATCCCAGGCTGTCTCTCTTCTTCTTTTTTTAAACTAAAGAAGAGAAAAATTTCACAAAGCTTTCATTTCTTAGGAAGAGTTAAAAGTCCCGACTCCCAGAGATGGCTCGCTGCCCAGGCTCCAGCTCCCACAGGCGGCTGGGCACCTTGCGGCCCCCCTTCTCTTCTCCTTCCCCGCGGTGAACTGCTGATAAAAACTACCGCCGTCTCTTTTTCTCTCTTGGGAGAAAAAGACTCTGAGAGGAACGAAGACATCCCAGATTTCTCCACCCTTCCATCTGCAGGGGGCTAACCCGGGTTTTAGTCCCTTCACCCTTAGGCCTACCTCCGAAAGCCACATGGCTTCTCCCCTCCCCCACCCAGCTCGTGGCCGGGCAGGGGAGAGTCCTGCACTGACCGCTGACCGGAACTCAAGAGAGCGAGTTCTCCTGGGAATTCTGCTTTTAACCCCTCTGTGTTCTCAGAGGCGTGTCTACCTTCAATTAGTCAAAGTCTAAATTGACCTCTTCCTTCCGGAAAAATTCTTTTTCCGTGTCAAACCACGACAATACAGCAGCCAGGTGAAGCAACGAACCAAGGGCATAATGCTGATGATTCTAGAGCAGTGAGAAATTTTGCATTCTAATAACCATGTTAAGGAAACGAAATACACATAGGGGAATTTTCTCAGGGAATAAGGAATATTTTGGTCTAGGAGTGTGCTGTGGTTTGCAAAAGGCTCTGTTGAGAGAGGTGAGTAATTGCACAGGTGTAGCAGCCTGGCTATAAACAGGATCAGGTTTTTGTCCTGCTCAACCCCCAGACTGGAGTCTTTGTAAAAAAAACCTCAAAAATCCAAAAAAACACTTTAATGGGAATCCAGGCCTCTGGTTGGTGTTGAAACCTTGGTGTGAAACTATAAATTACAATTGTCACGGCAGCTTGAAACAAAACTTATCAAGGTTGGTGATTGGACAGAGGAAATCTGCACTGTGCTGGTGTTGGAGTTATTTGCTCATAGACAGGATAAGAGCAATGGGAGATTTTGAGCTGGAAATGTAAATAAAAAGCAAAGGAAGTATTTTAGGAAATATTAGCATAAAATACTGGAAATAAATCAGGAGAATAGAGAGGTGCAGGAGGAAGAGGCGATGTCAGCCCCTAGACTGAAACAGTTGGACAGATTGTAGGGCAGACCCAAAATTTCAGCTGCTCAGCACAAGAAAAAATGTCACTATAAACATGCTAAAATCAGTATTAAAAAAAACCAGCAAACTAAGGTTATCATAGATGCAACATTTGAGATTTTTCTATCATCTTTTCTTCTGAGCTGGTAATATTTTGTGTTAATATTTAACTAAGCCACAATTCCAACAAAAATTGATTTCTTGTGGGTATCTCAAGGGTGGATAATTCTTTAGGCTAAGAAAGTTTTTCCCCCCAGATTTAATAATCACTTCTGTGTTGCCCCTCTCCTCCCAGGAGGAGTTCAGCACTGGTACTATTATGTTCCTTTTGTTTGTATTTAGTTTTATAAGCATAAATTATCAAACGTGAGGAAGGAAATCCCAAAACAGCAATAGATGTTTGTCTCTAATGCTTCGTTTTCCTGAAGTAATTTGAAGAGTCTACCCTAAGTAGCAGAAGCAAAAATGTATTTTACATACCAACACTTTGAGCAGGCTAATGGTGGTACTTGTAAAAATAGCACCAGCAGTCCATTCAAAACTGCTAAAAATATCACATGGCTATTAAAGCTTAATTGTGGAGCACAAGGGGACTAAAATAACAAAGTGAAGGTCTGGCCTTTCTCCTGCCCTTGTGTGTGTGTGAATTGTAATGGGTTTGGCAAAAGCCATCATTGCTGTAGCACTGCATCTTTTATCAGCCTCTGTTTCTCATTCTGCACTGATGTTACCAATTCTGTAACACGGGGAATGTTTTTGAGACCTGAATGCCTGCACAGCCTTTGGAGCTATGATAGTTCAGTGTATCCCTATCCACTCCAGGCTCTTTATGTAAAAACTTTCTCTGAGTCACATCTTTGAATACTTTTCTCAGCAGCTGCATGCTGGAAATTCTGTTGCCAGCCAGCAGCCAGTGTAATTCATAGGATGAGGGAAATGGTGAAAGTCACCAGAGCTGTAATTTTATGAGGTCTCCTACAGCATTTAGTGTGTGCAAACTTAGGCTTTTGTTCAGTTTGCTTAGGCTTTGGCTTCAATTTGGGCAGTGTGGAGTAACAGTGTTTTATAGACAACATGGAGCAGGTGATGATTACAAATTATTTAATGGAGCTATGCACCATGAGAGTAAAGAAATGAGATGGGAGTAGCTGAAGGGAAAATAGCAGCATGCAGTTGGTCAGCAGTGGTCAGAACAGCCTGAGAGAAGGTGGCAGTGCTACAGAGGGCTTGTGAGCAGCCTGACTCACAAATACCCCCTTTTAGACATGCTTTTGCAGTGATTGTTTCTAGACAAAGAAGCTTAGTGAGCTCTTACTGTCTTGATTTCTATGCCCAGGGCTGTAATACATAATTCTCATTCCACCATTAGGCTTTCAATCCATTTGCTTTTATTGCAGTTTTCTATTTTAAAAACCAAGTTCCTTAATTCTCTTTATTGCCATGCTTGTTCCCGAGGTTCTGTTCTGGTGCTGTGGCTACATGCTCTGGCTGCAGATACTTCATACTGGGCTGCCTCAAACTGAGATTTAGGGGTGCTGATTTTACCCATGATCATTAAAAACAGTGATGTTTTCTAAGCACAACATATCTTCACAGGAAAGAAATACAGCTTGACTGTTTTTAAATATAATGCAGGTACAGGTAGTGGCCAAAGGTGCTTAAATGCTGGATGCTGTCATGGCTGTGGTGTGACCCTCCCCTGTCCACATTTGTCAGAGTTCATCCCTCTATAACACCTGGAAGTGTTCCTCCTGCCAAGGAGTATCCATAATTATTTATAACAGACTTTTCTTTGTGAATTCTGAAGCAAAGTCCGTATTGGAGGCCTCTCAAACTTCTCCATGGTTTTGGGTCACTGTGAAAAGTTGCTGAGGCAGTGTTCGTTCCTGCAACGCTGAGGCAGCACTTGCAAGGCTGATAGCAGGTGTTTTATAAATATCTTTTTATGCTAATGATTTCCCAAAATGATAAGTTTTTCAGGATCAATGAAGCTGTTAAGGGTTATGAGAGTGGCAGAGTGCCCCTGAGCAGAGATGAGAAAAAGTACTTTAACCATTTATTCAATTTCAGAAAGGTGAAAGGACAGTTGCTTTGGCTGAGTAAAGGAGAGGAGTTTCTCTCCTTTACTCAGCCAAAAAGAGCAATTTCTTTCCCCTGCTTGGAATTAATAAAGCTTGTGACTTCCATCCTTACCCTTGTTCCATGTGCTGTGCACTGAGCCCTTCACTCTTTTTACCATGGTAAATTATTCTCGAAATAGTTCAAGTTCTACTTTTCTTTTGTGACTTGCAATAACTGCAGCACCCCGCACCACAAACCCAGTTAGTTCTCTCACACAGCAGACCTTTCCTTTGACTACTTCCCACCGAAGCAGCAGCATCTCTTCAACCATTCCTTCTTCTGAATGTCTCAATTGAATTCTTTACTGGCTGGAGTGGTTGCTGGCTGCACAATTCCATTGACAGTACTCAGAAGTTGCTCTAACTTGGAAAAATGGTCCTGGGTGGAAGTTTTCCCCTGGGAGGTTGATTTGAGCTGTTAACTTTGACCTTATTGCTCAGAAACTCTTAGAATGGA